ACTGCTCTCAAAGCAGATGTAGCACATAGCCATAAGAATTCTCACTGCTCCACACACTTGCCAACACTTGGAAATGTCAGATTGCTATTTGTTTGCCTGTGGATTGTTGGGTTTTGTCAATTTTCTGAGAGTGAAATGGTGTGTCCCTGATTATTAAAAATGTTGAGCATTATGGTTCTTTCATGGTCATTTCGCTTTCTGTTTCTCTACAAGCCTTGTTTTCCACACTCAGTTCCCTTCTCCACTCTCCCTACAGATTTTGCAGGTGGCAACACAGAGTTTTATCTCTGTTTGTCTCCTGTTAATGAAAGGAGGCTGCTGCCCAATACAGTGCTAATCCATTCAATGATCATCTGTTCACATCTTTCCTTTATTAACTCAGAATGTGCTTCTGTTTTAACCTCTCTTGTCCCATCAGCTTTTTTTTCTCTCTTGGTCTTTTTCTATTTACAAAACAAAACCAAACCCTTCAAGTGTCTGCTATCCTTTTTTAATTTAGCATCCAAATTAAATGTCTAAATGGCTCATCTCTTATCCACCATCAAACTTCTTAGAAAACTTAGTTTTTGTTCTTGTATCCTCATGTCTCAGTATAGTTGGATTCAACTATTCCACTGACATGGACATGAAGATTATCAATAACATCTTAATTTCATGACTCACTTTATTGTCTTCCTCTTATTTCACTTCCATAGACTTCATGCCTACACTGTCACCCTTCCCTTCTTTAGTGAATTATCTGTGTACTTTTATTTCTCTGGGTCTTTGCATGTGCACTACTTGGTAAAAATCATCCCTCTTCTCAACCTTGGAACTAGTGGTTCTTTCTTCTGAGATTCCATAGAACTGTGTGCGTGTGTGTGTGTGTGTGTCTGTGTATATATGTATATGTACATACATACATATACACACATACATACATATATATACACATACATACATATATACACACATACATATATATATATATTCAACTTTGTATTATTATTTATCCATAATAAGAAATTCTAAAGGATTTATATTTCTGCATCTCCAGTGCTTAACACAGATTCTTGGAAAATGTTTGTGGCATTAATAAATAAATTGGGCAAGAATTTCTGTGGAGTCCCTTCCAGTTCTAACATAATAGTTCCAAATCTATGATGAAAAAACATTATCTTTCCTCTTGCACTGTCTCCCCTTACCCATTTGCACAAATGATCTACTCCCTGCTAGAGAAGTCAGGTACCAGAATCCAAGGAGTTCTACATTGGTCTGAACAAAATTTCTTTCACAAACTGAGGAAAAGCAGCATGGATGGAGGAGTTGGTCATACTGAACTCTCCCATGCTGTTAAGGCTGGGATCAGCAGAGGACCAGATGAAGCCCAGAGTGGAATTCTGTTTCTTTCCTTTCATCTCCCAAACCTCAAACACAGAGAAAAGAAAACCAGGAAGTGAGGGAGTAGAGAGGGGTGAGTATGTGAATGAATAAGAAGAAGAAAAATGAATGAATGAATAAGAAAATGAATTAGATGAATAAGAAAAATGAATGAATAAGAAAAATGAATGAATAAGAAGAGTTCACAAAGGGATGTTAAGAAGGTGAAAATAATCACAAGGATTTTTAGCCCACTCAGAAGGGCAGAGATAAAATTCAGTCTTATGCAAGAGACATAGACTTTGATTTAGATCACTTAAATCTGCCCAACTCCACAACTGCTAGGATTCCCAAGGTGGTTTTAAGCAGCCACAGAATGACTTTATTTTGCTTCAAGTGGTTCCTAGAACTCTGTGGTAATTCCTAATAAAGGTTTTCAATAGATTTACTTATGGCAAGGGGCACCATTAACATATAATTTGGCCCAATTTTGCCATATCAGGTATATGAGTACCTCCTGCCTCCACTGCTGTGTCCATAGTAGGGAGAAGAATTCAGGCCATTGTGTGGCTTCCCTAGTAAGAAGAAATTACTGTTTTTCAGAATTATCAATTGCTAATTTTGTATCAAGCTAACTTGTGTATGTAACAAATGGCTTTTTCCAAGTATTAGCATTGTTTTTCAAATATCACTCTTTTCCAGTATGTTAAAGAATGCTTACCTTTAAAAAAATTACATCGATTCAAAGCACAGAGGTTCTGAGAGAGGTATATGCATCCCATCTGTTCAAATACAGGGGCTAATTGATTTCCCAAAGACCTTGATCCTTATTTTTAAAGTGATGCAATTAACTTCAAAAAACCCATGACTTATTTACACTTTAAAATAATAAAGCTCACTTCATCAGTAATCCTAAAAGGCAGTTGAACCTGGTCTATGACTGAAAAAGCCTCTTTTGCCCATTTCCTCTTTGAGATAGGCAGCTGCTGATCATGGCTTCTCACGCCCTCATTTTAGCCTGCTTTTATGATGAAATAACAAATGAAAATAGGCAATTATAATAGCACCTTGCTTCCCTGTACCCAATGCTTCTGGAAAAATGGCTGTACTGTATAAATAGCAGAGAGATTATCTGCTTGCCTACAGTGGTATGGAAGACAAGACTCTCTTAAAGAAGAGAAAAGTATAATGTAGCACAAAATAGGAAGAAAAGGTGTTCTAGGAATGGAGATATTTAAAGGAATCTGAAAATAGCTGTCTAATAAGTACATTAAAATAAAAATCTTTCTGTGCAAAAGTTAGGCTATCTTTCGTTTAACACACACTTTTTCTAACCACATTCATTCAGCCCTGACCCCAAAGATGACGTCTAGCTGGTCAATGGCTCTGTGTCACTTGTGAGTCTTCAGGTGGAGACAAGGGGAAGCACTATGAATTTATGGAAGTTGACAAGACTCTTGCCTGAGGCCCATAACTTCTCAGACTTGTATACATCCAAAAAGAAATCTGAAATGGAAAAGGGTAGTGTCTCTTCCTAGCATGTTAAGCTTGGAAAAGAAACAGTTGCCTGATCTATCTAAGTAATGTTGCCCTTCTGTATTTTTCATTCTCAATCCATTTCGTTTGAATTGCTATGCAAGTCTTTTGTTGTAGCCCTTGATAAAGGGCATATATGCTAAGTTAGATATTTTGGATGAGAATATTCTCTGAAATATATTTATTTTGATCATATATCCAATTCAAATATGGGCACTGTGAAAAGGGAACACTTTTACACTACTGGAGGGAATGTAAACCAGTACAACCACTCTAGAAACAGTATGGAGATTCCTTAAATAATTGAAAGCAGAACTACCATTTGATCCAGCAATCACACTACTGGGTATCTACCCAAAGGAAAAGGAGCCATTATATGAAAGAGACACTTGCACACATATGTTTACAGTGGCACAATTTGCAATTGCAAAAATATGGACCTAACCTAAATGCCCATCAATTGACAAGTGGATTTAAAAAATGTGGACTATACATACCATGGAATACTACTCAGCCATAAAACAGAATGAAATAATGACATTCACAGCAACTTGGATTGAGTTAGAGACCATTATTCTAAGTGAAGTAATTCAGGAATGGGGAACCATATATCTTATGGTCTCACTTTTAAGTGAGAGCTAAGCTATGAGGATGCAAAGGCATAAGAATGATACAATGAATTTTGGGGACGAGAGGGAAGGGTGGAAGGGAGATGAGGGGTAAAAGACTATACATTGGGCCAGCATACACTGCTCAGGTGATGGGTTCACCAAAGTCTCCAAAATCATTAGTGAAGAACTTATCTATGTAGCCAAAAACCACCTGTTCCTCCAAAACTACTGAAACAAAATACAATATTTTAAACATACATGGGCACTAAATTAGGCTGGGTGACCTCAGTGTGTGATTTGCTCATTATTCATTTATTTATTAACATGTATCTATTCTATTGCCTACTATGTGACAGGAGCCTTGCTGGGAGCTGAGAATTCAAGGGTAAACAAGACATACATATTATGCAATCTCTCTCTCTTTCTTTACTCTCTCTCTCTTTCTCACCCTCATTCTACCATCTAGCTCTATTTCTGGTCTTATTAAATGTCATCTTCAAAATCATCCAGATGCCCAAGTCAGAATCTGGGAAGCCATTCTAGCCTAAAGCTTTCTCTTGTTCTTCTTCTTCTTCATTTCACTGCAATGAATTCCTTGGTTCATACCCTCTTGGGTTTCTGCCTGGAAAACTGTAACAGCAGGGACACAGGTCGAATAATAGATGGACAATGAATATACTTACTATTTAATATCTTGAGCAGCAAATAAATGTTTTAGATTCAATATTATAGTTCATCTTCCCAATAACCTTAGAAGGAAAGGATAATACTGCCTCCATTATACAGATAAGGAAAATAACCTCAGGGAGGTTATTACCATAAGCTGCCCTGGGCCTTCAAGTTAATAAGTGCAGTAACCTTGGTTTGGATGCAAGATAGTTGGACTCCAAAGTCTGTGTTCTCTCCATTCTGTCACGTGCTTTGCATGCAACGTGGGTATCCCTGATTGTGTTTCTCACTCAAGACAGTTCCCAGGAGAGACCTCTTCACACACACCATTAGCTCATCCCTCTGAGGTGATATTTTATGGCTAAGGTGAGGCACCATAGTTAGAAGCAGCCATAAAAAAAATCCTCAAGGTGAAGCACTTAACGGAAGAGTGAATTGTTAGGTTGTAGACTGGTACCATTGGGAAACCTTTTACAAAAGCCCCTCTTATGAATTTTGATTTCCCATGAGTGAGATCATGTTTTGTTATCTTTTTGTTTTCCTTGTCTAAAATCTCTCTGGGGCTAGAGGACTATTATTTTATGTTACCTTTTTAGTCAAGGCAATATCTACCTTGAATTTAGTGGTAGGAAAACCATTAGGTGATGGTATATCAGGTATGCTTTCAAGTGTCCAAATTATATTACCCAATTATATAATAAATGTAAAAGCACTTTTAAAACTATAAATAGCCATAAGGTAAATGAAGGTATTACTATGTTTGTAAATAAACATTGACTTTCACATAGTATTTGCTGAGCACTCTTTTTCTATTGTTGTTTTTCTACTTTTCAGTGGTAAGATGATATCACTTATAAGTTCCATTATATGCCTGTCATTTTGCGTATATCATGGAGTGATGAGCACTCTTTAAAGAAAGCAAAAACAAACTAATACCACTTGATTATTCTGTTAAGGAGTGAGAATAATTATTCTTTCTTTTAAATTTTCACACTGAAAACTGCAACTATTTGATTTAAAATACACAAGTTTGTGGGTATGTATAATGAATTCCTAATGTGTTTCATGTTACATGCACTAGAAGCTGTGGTTTTCCAAGAATTGAGATGGTTCTTCCAGCAAGTTCCAGTGAGGAAAGATAAGACTTGACATCAAAGCACTGATGTGTTTGCATACATTGCTGAAAGTAACAGGGAAATAATCATAGAAGGCGGCCACTTTTGTGTATTGTAAAGTTTTAAATGGCAATTGCAGAACTGAGTGACATATCAACAATTGAAAAGTCTTGAAGTAGTTTTGTGTTCCGCAAGTGTAGATTTCATTACTGCTTCCTTTGAAGTAAAAATCTCATCTCTTTGTAACTAGGATAGGTTTTGAAGAAACAGAACTTCAAGAGCTTTAGATGGGCAATAAAAAATGTTGTAATCTCTTACAGGAGAGATGTGATTTATAAGGCAACGTATTTTTTATGACACATTGATGTTTGCAACAGACTAGGCCAGTAAGTAAGAAGTTCAGATTTAAAAAGAAAGAGAGGTGACATAGCATTCTTTTACAGGTGTCATTTGGCTTAAAACAACCTTTGCTTACCCAGTGACTGAATCATTTTGGATGTGAACAAGTGAGGTTTGTGTAATAATTGTTACTTCTTCCATCTATGTGTAGGAGCCAGCACCTCACTGCCAAGATGGTTTTTAATGAAATAGGAATAAAAAGATCTGTGCATGTCTGTGTTTGATAGTAGCCTTAAAGCAGTCTTGGAGGCCTCAAGACACCTAGGTCTCTGCCATGAGATACTCACTTTAAGAAGAGGCAGCAGAAAATAATGGTTAATAGCATGGGTTATGGAGTCTGACAAACCTGGTCACTTCTGCCATATACATACTAGATTTACCTGTCCTTGGGCAAGTCACTTAACATTTCTCTACCTCAATTAACTCACATGTAAAATGGGGATACTAAAGCCACATCTGAAGATGATTTTGTGGATTGAGTAATGTCGTATGCTTGAAATGCTTAGCTCAGTGTCCAATGCCTAGAAAGTAATCAGTTAAGCTTGATACTGGTTTTTAAGCATTTAAAAAATATTTATTGAATATCTCCCATGAACTGAACAAAAAAGAAAGTTTGTGTGTGTATATCTTCAAGGAATGAAGCATGGCCCTATACCGCCTCTGTATTACATGGAAATGTATAATTAGAGTTTTTAAGCATTTTCTAACCAGTAGCACATTAGTAAACAACAAACACTACTGCACGGTGCAGTTTGTTTATTTGGCAAAATGTAGATATTGCAGCTGCTTCACACAACAGTCAAGGGGTGGGGGTGCTGATTGCAGAAAACATTAAGCCCTAGGACTATATTTAGTTAGAATGTGACATCATTTTAAAATGTGAATTAGTTCAACCATGCATTTTAACTGTTTGTTTTGTTATTTAAGAAAACAGGAGAAATCAGGTAAATGTCCCCATTCTTCCTAACTGCATTTAACCAACTAGAACTTAAAACAAAAAGGACTATAAGGTAATTAATTTCAAAATCCATAACATCTACATTATGACATGGCTCCCTGGGTCAAAATCTATATCCTGGAACATAATAACCATATGCTCTAAAATATAATTTATTTAACAGCATAGGCCAATAAGGTGAGTCTCCACGCTGTCCACAGACATTAGCATTGTGAAAGGGTTTCCTTTCATAACTATGGCAATTACATAGTTAGTGAAATACCATTAGGCATATCTTTTCATGTGTAGTTATGGCTGTGTCTATATGACACTGAACATCTGTATGAAAATCAGAAATTTCAATCAACTCTCCAGATGTCCCCAAATATCAATATGTCTGGCTTATGAACAAAACAGAGGGACTTAAGTTTTTCATTTCATTTTCTTCCAGATGTTGGTCTCTTGTAGACACGAATCTCTTTTTGAGTTTTTTCCTACCAATCAAAAACCAAAAAGGTGTGTCATAATATTTTTCTGCTGTGTTGAATGATGCAATTCACCAAAATCCGCTAGGTCATAGATGGATGCAAGTTGTTAAGAATGTAGCAGTGAAAAACTTAACACGATTGAGAGCATGGAAGTAATTTGGTTCAAGAAATAAAATATTCCCTATGTTTGTATTTATACAAAGCATGTAACCTGATATTGGTGCATTCAGGTTTTCTAAAGACAGAGGCAGTGTGGTATAATGGAAAGACACATGTGTTGGTTTCAGAAAATCCTGAACATGAGTTCAGATTCTGTCCTTTACTTTTGACATTGTGAGCCTTAATTTTCTCTAAGGTAACCAATCACTGGAGTTTGCCTGGGACTCTTCCAGTTTTATCCCTAAATGTCCCATGCCCTGAGAAACCCGTCAGTCCCAGGAAAATGGATGATTGGTCATCCTAATCCTCATCTATAAAACGAGGGTAATAATAACTTCCTCGCAGAGTTTTACTGCAGAATGGTGAATAAGTAAAGCACCTAGCACAGCCAAGAAGAGCAGGATCTCCAAATGGGAACTATTATCATCATTATCAATCTCATTCACATTTCCTATTCTGTTTCCTCTCAGAGCACAGGCTTGTCTGTTTCCATTTTATTCAACACAATCAGCACTTCACTTGCACTATCATAGTCATGCTAATTGAGTCCATCTCAGTCTCAAAAGCACTAAATTTCTACATTGTATTCCCCCTCACTGATGGTCATGAACTTTACATCATCCTCACTGGAATCCAGAAGATAACTTTGTTTCCTACCAGAAGACCTGAGATGTTTCTATAATTTGGATGTACAGTATGGAACCTCCAGTGCCCACAGCAAGCCTAACACATAGTGGGGCCTCCACAGATACTTGTGACATGAATGAATGGTTCATAAACAAAGAATAGAAAACTACAGGTGAGTTATGGTGAATCAATCGAGTAAACATCAAATTGTAGCCCTTCTCTTCGCTACAAACTCATTTTTCTATCACAGATTTCAATTTACCTGCTAACAAAACATTGCTTACTATCTTTCAGAAGGCAACTAGTTATATTTCCTTTCCAGAACAGAAACTTTCAGAATAGCTAGACTAGTCTGCCCCCTCCCACTCTCTGGCCCCCTAGTGCTTTCCGGTTCTCAAGTCCCCGGTTGCGCTTCTGCTTTGTTGAAACCTCCACCGGCCATGTCTAGTCTTATCACAGTCCAGCCCCAAACTCAGAGAACATTCTCTTGAATTATTTAGATTTTTCTTGTCACCTTATTCGATCCTCTGGGTTACTCACTTTCCTGTGCCTTCCACTTCAACCAAGTTGTGTTCCTGCTTCCAGTCTTCCCAATGCCTGCAATCTCAGAAATTAGACATAAATAGCAACAGGCAATCAAGCATCATCCCTTTCCTTCTCTGTCTTGCAACTCAGGACCAGCCTTCTCCCAGTTTTCTCTAATTGGTCTCATCCAGCATTTAACCCGCCATGACAGTCTCAGCATAGCCATTCCCTCAGTGCTGGCTGTCAGAATCAGATGGAGCTAAGTTTTGAATAACTATTGCATTTGCTGCAGCATGACATTAAATGAGTGTTTTCATTTTTTTGAACCTCAATTACTCATTTGATAAAATGGGGATAAGAATTATATTTGTGATAAAATGGGAATAAGAATTATGGGAAATAAATGAGGTAACTAAAACTTGCCCATGAAAATTCATTCACTCTCGTCATTTCTAAGAGTGTTTATCTACACTTTCTTAAAATTCTGTGGGAGAAAATAATTGTGAAGATCTTGAATGTATAACCCCATATACGTTGCTCTGCCTTTGGTAGGCTCTAATATCCATTACTGGACTGACTCTAGAAGGGATATAGAGGTCCTCTCTGTTAGATCTCGGTTGGGAATGGGATTAGGACCAAAGCATTTAGGGGGCACAGGTGATTTTAAAAATGAAAATACAAGAAAGCCCTCAGTGGGGACTTTTCAGAAGCACAGGGAGAAAGAGGAAAGCTTACACTCCTGACCTCTCACCTTAGCATTTTCCTTCCTTCCACTTTCAAGCAGTGAATAATCCACATGTCAGAGTGCATTTAGATCTAAATTCAATTAAGTCTGACCTTAGGGATAGTTACTCATAGTTCCCAGCAGGTGTGTGTTTGGAAGAAATTGTCATCTGTGCCCTTTGTTCAGTTTTCAAATTACCCAAGTTTATGGTCCTGACTGATTAAGTCTAACAACCCTGGCCAATGAATGTCCAAGGAGAACAGCTGCTGGCTTAAGTGTCTAGGTATTTGTGCTGAAAAGGATTTTAAGGAAGAAGTCACCTCTCTCTATTTACTCCTCATAGAACAAATCTAGGAGTTGAAAATATTCTATAGCTTTCATCCAGACCCTTATGATAATTGCTAGCCTATGGTTAACCACCATGGCCCTTGGTGTCATGTTTGTGATGTGCTCTGCAAGACGGTTGTGAGAATTAGAATATATGTAATCCAACGAGCACAATACCTGCCACATAGTAGATGCTCAATTAGTGGTATTAATTATTAATATAATTGACATTATTAAAGCATTTAACAGGAATTTCAAACATCAGACCAGTGTTCACTGTGGCGGGGGGGATGTATGTGGGTGTGCATGTATGTGCAAGTGTGCATATATGATTTTGATTTTGATCAATTATCACATATATCTTCCATGAATACTGCCTAATATTTTAGATTGACTTCAGAAGTCATGCTGTAAAATACTTTTTTTTTTTTTTTTGAGACAGAGTCTTGCTCTGTCACGCAGGTTGGAGTGCAGCGGTGTGGTGTGATCTTGGCTCACTGCAAACTCTACCTCCCGGCTTCAAGTAATTCTCCTGCCTCAGCCTCCTAACTAGCTGGAACTACAGGCACCCACCACCATGTCCTGCTAATTTTTGT